TTCCCTCCTGTCCTGTCCACGTTCTCTCTGGCAGCGTCACTCTTAATCTCGTTATACTCGGATTTATCTGACTTGACTTTCTCCTCGGCTTGTGACGCATTTATACTTGATCCACCTTCGGATTCTAACAAACTTGTATCTTGTGCAGGCAACTCCATGGAACGTGTTGAACTACTTGTTCTGGGCTTTTCAAAGTGCATGAACAAGTTGCTCGACTTCTTGGCTTCCTCTGTCTCCAACTTTCGTCTCTTCCGTCCTTCAGCTCCACTTTCATTCTTCTTCATGAAAAAACATTTCATGGGCTTCTTACACAATGCTCTGAAATAATGAAATGTCACTTTTAATAAGAACATTAAATTTCATAGATTTTGCATAAAATTCTGGACTACCTCCCTAGTTTGCACAGGAGAATGGTTTTACTGCCAGTTGGCACTGAGCAGTGGTATTATGATGTATGTGGTCATGTTGCTCCCAGCACTGTATTTTTGCCTAATAACTTATATAACTGGTGTAACAATCCAGCCATCCTAGTGCTTCTCACCCATGGTACACAAAGACAGATCATACATCTGAAGAAGATTCTTTTTTCACTAATCGAGGATGGTTTGTCTGACTTTAATAGAAACTGCTCAGTGGAGCCCCCCTTCAAGTGGCGCCCAGGGTACGTGCCATACCTTAGGTACGCCATTGCCTGTAATGTAGCAAATGCTATTGAAGAAATAAATTATTTTGTTATTGTTACATGGATTGGACTTGCCATTATTTTTACCAAATAATCCAAAAGAAACCAGATTTCAGAAATGGGATTATTTTGGTGAAAATAAAATAGAACTTTGACTAAACTTCAAAATGACGATTAAGCAGGCATGAAGTGAGATGGAATTTTGCTGGAGATAATGAAATAACTAAAAGAAGGTCATGAAGAAAGAGATAGAAAATTTAAAGTATGAGACAAAAAATGAATAGATCAAGAAGAGTGAAACAAAATTGAGAACAAAACCAGGAAGAAAGAGGTAGAAAAATAAAATAAGACCATGAAGAAATATATAAGAAATGAAAAGAAAATCAAGAGATAACAGACAGGAATTTAAGTGAAGAGATAAAAACAAAAATAAATCTGACGACAAGATTGATGAAGCTATTTAGGATGTACAGAGGGATTACAACAACAACAAGATTGAAGATCTACAGAAAGGCTGTATTGACACAAGTGAAGGAGTGTGCTGCACCTTCATCTTCACCTGTGGATTTTGTCTGGGCACTTAGAAGATGGACAGGTTTTTTTCTTATAGAATACCTTATTTTCTTGCTCTCACTTGTTGGTCATACATCCATCAACACTGGTCTATCCATATCTCCTTCCATCTACTTCATGTAACTGTAGGCTCCAAGTAAATATTATGGGCTAATAATGATCAACATTGTAACTTGAATGGTATAACAGATTTTAAATGGGTGAAGTAAGTTCATGTGAATAATTATTAGAACAGCAGTCAACACATGGTTCTTATTATTTGTAGATAAAATAAATTAGTACTGATCTGTTCATATAATTGTTAATGATGACATGTAGAAAACCAGTAAGTCAATAATTAGTTTCTACTTTGAGGAAATTGAATTCACTCAGCAACAACTACTGGTATTCTGTACGTAATTCAGTATAAAACAAGATTGTATTACTATATATTTACATATGGACAGTGCAGTACTATTGATTCCTATTTTGATTATTTGATTTCATTTTATTTTCTTGACAAGTTCCTCTTCCTCCAACCAATGTCACATTTGACAGAAGAACAGTGACATCCTACTCCGTTGATGTGCTATGGTCACCCCCTACATCACTTTCAGAGTTTGATCGCTATCAGGTGTCTATAGGATTAAAAAAATCCATAAGACTCGTTGTTAATAAGGAAGAAGAAAGAGTTGCCAGTTTTGCTGAAGGATTAGAACCTGGTCAGACCTATGAAGTAGATGTAAAAACTGCCAGTGGTTCTGTTGCTAGTTGGCCTGTGGAAGGCATTGTCACTACTAGTAAGTTGAGACACTTTTACTTTGTGTGTGTGTGCATTGCTGTTTAGATATATACTTATACTTTCTTGATTTAAATAAATTTTTCTTTGCTGATAAAAAGACTCAAAAGAGGTTCATGTAGATGGATGACATTACTACTACTGCTCTTACCAACGCTATTGCTACGTTTAGTGCTTTTGGTCCCTTTTTTGTCAGTTAGCTTCAATCTGCAGTAGATAGATTGCTTTGAACATCTAAAGAAATTTGTGTATAATATATGAAGACATTTTACCATAAAACATATATCCAAGTGAAATTATTACTAATAGTAAAATAGGCAAAATGTATTTTTTTTTATGGAAAGATAAACCCATTATGTTGATTAGAATTATATATATCTATCATAAAAACATTTAAGCTGAAAAAATAAAATCTGAAAGAGAATATTGAGCTTGCTACTCACAAATTTTATTTTAGATGCAAAACAATAATTTGAATTTTAAAAATAAGTTCAATAATTTGAATCTAATTCTTTGTTGATAAATAATGCTTCTTCTCATGTTTTAACTAGTGTAGTAATAAACATAAAACCATTTTTGTTATAAACAAATTTGCTCTCTGTATTTGTAAACTTTTTCTGTTAAAAAGTATATATATGTATATCTTTGTGTATCTTTTTATATTTCTATATCTTTATGTATATTTATAAACAGTGTTCATCAGCTGTGACATGATGTTATTTTATTTGAATTTTGAATCACATTATAGGTTTCATTAGACAAATGGTAGTGTAGGCATACACAACAAAATGTAGAAATGGTTACCATATGCTTCCTTGGTTAATCTTTAATGTAGTGTTTTTAGGATTACAACCTCCATAAACATACAAATAATATCTAATAATATGGTTATGAGTATTTTTTCTCATGAATGTAATTTGTGTTTTGTGATGTTTCATTAAATGCAGATTCTGTAAAAGTAGAATATATTGACTTAATGCATAAAGACACAGCTAGTAGTTGCCATAATGGTGTGCAGTATGCAGAAAAGCTTAACATCTAATAAGTTATGTTGTTGCCTTTTGCAGGTGACCAAAGTCAATGGCTGTTATATAGTTCAAAGTGGGCTTACTTATATAATTTTCAAAGCCTTTCCTTGTTGAGTTTGTGGTAAATGGTTATGCAACTTTATGTTCTGAATGTCCTTAACACATCTCAGAATGTGTACCAACTTACTTAGAGTTCTTTACTCTTCCACATTCTATGTGATTTATGCATGTATCAGAAGATCATGTATAAGCTTTGCTTTCTTGCCATAATCCAAACTTTTTTAATGATAGCTAACTTTATTCATGTGAATTCTGAAGTAAACTTTAACTACTATTGCAAATGTTTCTATCATAAAAAAAGATTGGGAATTTTATAACTTCTTTGGAGACCTTTTTTGTGTAATCTACCTCTAGCATGCAGAGAAAGTGAGAAAAGATTGGATGTTCTGCAACCAAAAATTCACACGAGTGTGAAACCTGCTAGGGTCCCCAGCAAACAAAATAAAATTAACAGCCTGAATCCATCGATCAATAAAGACTGACAATACAGCCATTGAAGCTGTTTTACTCAGTTCTTTTCCCCTTCATTGTCTGAAGAGTGGGATTTGTCAGCTAAGCCTAATTTCAAAGAGGTTTTTCAGCTGATCTACTTTATCATCTTTTTTTTCAAGTATGTTATATTTTAGATTTTGAACTAATTCCTGTTATGTCTTAAAGTACTAATATGTAGAATGATTCAGTTCTTGAATCTTTATTTTCCACCTTTTCCTGATTTTTGGGTTATTGATAACTAGAAATCAGCTAAATATTACCCTTTTAGTGGGGTGATTTTTCTCTACTGATCCTACTTCTCAAGTTCGTGATCCTAAGACTGTTTTTTTAGTGTTTTTTTTAGATCTTTAACAAGGTTTTCTACTTTATCACATTGTCAGTTTTCTTTCCAGCATCCTATGATGTGTCTCATTGTGAGACTTTTTTCTTCAGAGCAATTATTAGCTATCAGCTAGTCTCCTCTTGATTTTTTATTCAGTATCAAACTGTTGCCTTTCTGTCTTCTTTAGCTACAGCTATCACTGATGTAGTTTCTATAAACACGTGGTCCTCATGTTCCTTTGGCATCTTAGCCCATCATCCTCTGTTACAAGGTACTCAACTTGCCTTCCCAGGTCATGTTAAAAGAACTTCCCTACTTCGTTTGTCTTTACAGTATTTCACCTGTAGTAGTTCCCATTCAGAAGAAGCATTCCAGAAGGAGCTGATTAAGAGTTTTAGCATTTTTATTTCTGGTAATCATTTCTTTTGTGATGACCAGCAAGTAATGGTTGTTCAATTATCAATGTCTTTGCTATGCCATTGAACCTTCTTCTTACATTCTACTGGTCTTCAGTTCCTGATTTAAATTCTCTGGCAGTGGACACTCTTGAGTCAATCTTGGGGAACTTGTTCCTTTATGTTTACACATTTCTCCACTTTGTTCCTCGAGTACTTGTCATGATCATTTACTAAAAAGTTCAGAGTTCTTAACACTTCACATTGGTCCAGCTCAACCAAAGTTTCCTCTATTATGTCAACTTTCTCACAGGAAACCTCCATGGGAACATCTTTTTTGGCATCCTTCAATATCCTTCTGCCACAATGATGTTTGATGTTAATGGCATCATGGCTGAAATTTATTTGGTTCTTTGGCTAAGAGGCTGGATTCTCTTTCCTGGAAACTTGATTGTTAACCCATTCTTGCAGATGCTCTTCCCTGGATGTCCATCCATTTTGTTGGGCTACCCTTTAGAGTTTGTGCATCAAACATATATTTTTTATCTCCAACTCCTCAACAAATACATTCTTTCCTTATGTATTTGTCTTACGATAGTGTTTTATCAACTTCTCCCATTATTGGATACTGAGCTGCCACCTTCAGATGCCATGGAAGCTATCACTTTCTTTTGCTCCTATTGTTCAAAGACCTTTTCTAAGTTTCCCTTTCAATGACCTCAGTTCTAAATGGGACTTGCCTTTCTTGGCTTTCACCAATTTTGAACCTTTAGCATAAACTTAAGCCACATGAATGTTGACAGCCAGAGAACAAAATCAACAAGGAAAGGCTTGTTGTATCTGTTTGAAATTCGTTTTAATTCTAAATATGTAAGATTCAGTATGTTTATATGGATTTTTCAAAATCTTTTTTTTAACTTCGATATTGTTTCACAGGTTTAGTTGTGTTCTTATTATTTCTGTAATTCTCTTTATTACACACGTACTTAAAAAATGTTCATTTTATGTGACAGAAAATTTTATGTTACTTCTAGGACCATTGCCTGTTATAGGCTTAAATACAACTTTGAGAAAGCCTGGAGAAATTATAGTAGAATGGCAACCAAGCAACAAAAGTATTCAAGATTCCTTTCTGGTAATGATTTTGTATACTAAGTCATTAGAAAACATTACATTTTGCATTCTTTATACTTGCCAGTTGAAAATAGAATTTGTGCAACAATACTCAAGTAAAAAAAAGTTCAAATCTTTACAAAATTTAACGTATAATTATACTCACAAGCACTGAAAATTTTACTTGACATTAATGACAAGAAGACTTAACTAACATTACACTAAGATCTCCTGTGTGTTTCAGTAATGATGTGGAAAATAAAAGTAATCTTCTCAAGGTATATTTTCATGAGGTCATTGATTCAAACATTCTACCCAGAAGTCTCAGGTGTCTTGTTTCCAAAACCCAGTGGCCAATGACTGTTAGTTATAGAGCTTTCTGAGATTGTATTTTTGATATTCCAATGGTTTAAGTTTGCTAGCTAGAAATTTCAAGTATTATATGTTACCTGTTGTTTAGTTATTCAAGTTTGCTAGCTGAAAATATCCAACCTATCTAGAGGACATGACTATTGTATTTTTGACAGCTTAGCTACTCAAACCTAATATATAAAAATCTCCAAAATATGGTACAATCCTATTACTCAGAGATTTGAAGTTTATAGTATGATTAGCTGGAGTACCCACCTGTTGGATGGTTGAAATAAAAACTCGTTTGTAACAAAGGATAGGAAATTGTGATTCTATTTTTTATTAACATAATAAAAATCAAATGTGCAATTAAAATAC